TAATGCACATAAAAAACAGCTGCTTGTTTAAGTGAAAATACATTGATGGGGTTTTTTTGCACTAATAAAGTTGTGGAGTTGCAAAGTATTTTGTCTCGTGTCAATTATATCGTCAGTAATATCGTTATCGCAAATTTTCATATGTATATCATGATAGATATTTTTGGTCATATCACCCTGCCCTACTTTAGACCTAAATATTTTTAAACGATTTTCACACTGTTACACTACAGCAGCAATAAAAATACAGACTAAGTCCACTACCCTACATGTGTACTATGATAACAGCAGATATGCCTGCGACCAACACAAATGACCTGCATGCTTTGATTGGTTCTTTGGGCAGAGGGAGGACAATAGCCACCTTTGCTGTTGAAGAATTGCCCGTTAGATTTTTAGCTCTAATGTCACCAAGACTATATTTCTGGTGGCTCGGATAGTAGAGCAGCTGTCCTGCAGCCACAGAGATGTTGGTTTGATTCCTCATGCACAGCACCCTACATAATGGATTTATCTTTAAAGGTCATTCAGTATTCAACAGATTGCTCAGTGTCACAACCCAGTCCTGTGTTAGTACCTACATTGCAACAGTCTATAGTTTTTCAGCTGCAAACAGTACTGAAGCCAATTTGTTGTCCTCTATTAAAGCCCCAAACTGTGCTTCAGAACAACCCTTCAAACATCTGCCTGAGTGAACTTTTACGAGACATAAAGGAGAGAAGGCAGCATGTGGAACAACAGCCCACATGTACGTCTGGGGGAGCCAGCAACAGAACAATAAACAGAGCAAAGTCTGCCGGTAACTAACAGGGTTTATTGTGCATGGCTGAGCACCCCTCAGACAGACACTAAGAAAACAAGCAGGAAAAAGGAAATATGGTTAATGTAGTGTACACGTCTGCAGCCCTCACTGACCATCTGCTGACTCTTTCTGGGGCCCTGAAATAAGAACGTCTTTAAATACATGTAAAGCCCGTTTTATCAAACCCAAGGCTAAAATGAAAAAACAAGAAAGAACTAATAGCACACGAAGCAACAAAGACAGCAAAAGCCACTAGAAAGCGAGTAGATGTTCCTCTCTATGCTGACAACTGGGAGCGAGGGAAGGAAAACACAACTAATCGAAATGCATTACAGTTAATGACAACAGAAGCCAATGTGCAGGTCTGCTGACTATCACCCTGTCTGATAAATGTCTCCTTTCAGCTGATGGGAGAAAGCTGGAGGAGGGGAGGTAGGAGGACTCGGCCGGCCTGCAGGCAGGGACAGTTAGACAGGGTGGACAGCGTGAAGCTCAACGTGGCCTCGCGGTTACACACTGAAGTTTGTTTTTTGGTCAGACTGAAACATTTGATTGCTTTGCTCATTTTTATTTATTCATTCATCTTTTTATGGAAGTGAAACTCGTGAGATTAAGAATGTTTGTGCAGGAGCGCACTGAGCGTTGATGTCTGACACATCAAATGAGTATGAACTGATATGTTTTGGACTAAACTGAAGAGCCTACCATCTCAAGGCGCTGCTCCCATTAACCATGTCCTTCTAGCCAACACATTGATTGCATCTCTGGCACTGCTCTCGAATGGTTTTTATACTTATCCCACATAAACTTCAGCGATAGTATTAAGATCTGCACTACATGTTTTCATCTGCTACTCCAATGTGGCGTCCCTCAGGCTTCAATCCTTGGGCCACTTCTGTTTTCCTTATATGCACATCACCCCACAGCACATTACACCTTTTAATTCTGCCCCCAATTCTAGTTTACTGTGACTTTTTCACCCATCAGATCAGAGACTTTCAGATGTTCCACCAGCTTATTTCAAATCCACAGCCTTCGCAGTTGTAGCCCTTTAACCGTCCTCCTTACATCAGGTCAGTTTACTGAAAACTTTCACTTTGCAACTGTAAGTTTTAAAAACTGCTTTACAAATAAAGAGCTAAACACTTTGTTTGTTTTATCTGCATGGTTCATATTTAATACAGATTCTAAAATCAAGGACTCACTTCCTACTTACTTTCCTGTGTAGTCATCCCCCAAAGGCTCACTTTGAGGCAGGAAAAACCCTGATACCGTCCCTGAAAACTGCCCCCTCTCGTCATAACAAACAGGACAGTGCCCGGCACCCGGCTCCACTTACTACACTGCGTAGGAAGCAAAGCTGTCCGATGGGAGGGAGCGGTATCATCAGGAAGCACCTTGCATCCTACATGTGGGTGCTGAGGGAAATCCAGGTTCAAACAGACACTCCGGCGAGTTAACCTCTCATTATGGTATTTTATCAACTGTGTCACTGTACAGGGAGCTGGGTGTTTTAAGTCCAGACCTCCAGCTGTCTGCCCTTTGGTCTTGGGTTAAGTCTGTATCTGCTGAAGTGACAATTTATTGAAAGATCAAGTGGTCCAGAGGTTACAGATGTGTAGCACTGCAAGGGAAGGAGTTCCAATAAAGGGCACACATAAAAATCCATTTCAACCATTCGTTTAGCCAAATATTAGAGCTGAAAATTAGAGTCGCTTCAGTTTTCAACAGATAACATTAATTGCTTTTCAATTAAATCGTTAGTACTATAAATTCTTAAAAACACTTGTTTTCCGGAGCAGATGGGGATATTTTTAAATGTCTTGCAATTCATCTACTCTAATGCAATGCTTCCTTTATGGTTTTTTTAATGCAGTTTATCGTAATAAGTGGTGATTGTATTACAGTGAAAACTGTTTTTAAGATTTCAAAACTCCATTTACACACACAGTGGACACAATATTAGAAACACTATAGTGTAGATAATATTAACCTCTGCATTTTGCCTATAGAACATTCTTTAGCTGTGAAGCACTTTACCCCGAGGAAGACTATTTTTGGACTGAACAGCAAACATTAGAGCAGGACTATTATCTAGCATAGATGTGTTTCAGAGATGGCAGACGACACAGGGACTGTTAAGGGCTAATGAGACAGCTGAGGTCAGAGTCTGTGTATGTGCTGCATTGTGCACTTCCACCACAGCGGGTTTAGTCAGTGATGAGGTGAAGATGAAGGGTTGAATGGAGAATATGCTGACGGTTGATTACAAGTTTTATACAAACAGTAAAAAGAGAGGACTTATTTTAGGATAGTTGGGCTGTAATTCGAGACAGACACTGTGGTCGATTAGCGGTTAGACTGAGAACCTTCACCTGTAGTTAAGCTATCAGTGGTGAGGTTGCCGGCAGCAAAAGTTGAATGATGAGTTGTTCCTTGATAGTTGATCAAATACGTGTTTTTAAACATTTTGGTTATCATAACCGCTTGTTCTGTTTCCAAAACAATCTTTGGCTGCTGTATAGAAATGACACACCAATCATCACTATGACCAGTGGCACGTGAAGTGAATAACACCGATCATCGTGGCACCTGTTAGTGGGTGGGATATATTAGAGAACAAGTGAACATTTCAGCCTCAAAGACGATCTGTTAGAAGCAGGAAAAATGGGAAACTTAAGGATCTGAGCGACTCTGATAAGAGCCAAACTGTGATGCCTATACAAATGGGTCAGAGCCTCTCCAGAACCACAGCTCTTGTGGGGTGTGAAGTGGGCAGTATGTATCAAAAGCGATGCAAGAAAGAAACAGTAGTGAACCAGCGACAGAGTCACAGGCAGCAATGGGGAGCAAAGGCTGGCCCCACATGAGCTGCTGTAGCTCAAACTGCAGAAAAAGTTCATGACAGAAAGGTGCCAGGCTCCACATTCACCTGATTTGAACCGTGTAAAGAATATTATGAGTTTTACATATCTATAGATCAGACATCAGTCCCTTAACTGCAAAAGTGCTGTTTCTACAGGTCTCCAAATCTGCTGACAGAGACTGGACGTCCAGACAATTTAGAGACTTCAACCTGTTACCCCGAGGTCCCCTCCTGAGTGTCCGTAATCAAAGAGCCATAGCTCCAGATATTTACCCTGAAACACTGCAATGACAGCTCAAGGAGTGTTGTTCATAATGGAATTTTAAAATGAAGACTAGCGACAGCAGGGACCTGATTTTTTGCACAATTCCCTTTGAGAAGGGTAACTTATCACTGGAATTTCATCGGGCAACTCTAAGATGATCAGGTCATTCCAGCTAAATGAATGCCTGCACACAACGACCTGAAGAACTCTAGCTGTAGAGTTACATGAAAATAGTGACGCCGACACTGAGCACTGCCTTTCACCCCTTTAGGCTGAAATCATCACGCAAACCACGTAAACTATAACCTGTAAACAGATTAAGACCAAGGAAACCCACACCCTGTACTTGGCGAGCTACACCTCCCACATAAATAGATAAAAAAAACAACAAAACAAAACCCAACATGGATGCCTCCACCTCTCCCATCGGCTTATAGTAACGTTTTCCTGATACACCCACTCCACGGCGATGCCGGTGACATAACTGAATTGTGTCTTAGACGTTTCTCTGGCACCTGCTCTTATGAAATGTAATCCTGAATGTTGCTTTGCACAAATAGAAAGCAGATGGGAGCAAATGGGAGACCGCACATGCTCAGTACTTACTCAAAGGTGAAGAAAAGTCCACAAGTGACTAGAATGAGGATAAGGGTGAGGTAGAAAACCCCCGTCTGCTTGGCCATCATAATCCTGCCATCGCAGTAAAACTTATTCCGCCCCGGGAAGATCTCCCACTTCCTCTTCTTTGGGGTCCTTTTCTTGTACGGGGTCTCCATCGGTGTCGAGCTGCGAGTACTGATCTGGCTGTACTCGCACTCTCTCATGGACTCTGACACCCCGAGATGCATCAACGGCTGATTAAAATCCCCAGAGCTGAACAAATCCCGGGGCAGAGCAGCCTCTGTGGAGGAAATACACCAGTTCAGTTTAGCATTCAGGCTAGGAGAGCAACTTATCCGACACAGAAACACAGGGTGGGGGTGAAGAAAAAAAAAAAGTTTGTGAGGGGTGCAGCACACACTTCCTGTTATTAATAAAACCTCGGCTAAAGCTCACTTTACACCTGTGTAGCGCCCCAGGTCCTGGCTATGGAGCCGGGTTCGTAAAAAATGCAAATTTAGCTATTAAAAAAAGTTAGCTAACTTACGCTCATATTTCACAGCTTAACGTTAACAGCCCCTCTGTTAGCAAGCAACCTGGCTAGCTACGACACGGCAACCGAATCCAAAGTGTCGCTAAGGAGCTAACATGGCTAGCAAGTTGCTGAGATAAGTTCTCGTTATACACGTTGGCCAACTCTGGCAATTAACGACTAGCCCTCTGGCCAGTCATCTCACCCACACACAGTTACAAGTACTGACTTCGATGTTTTTACTCCTAACTGTCCTGCATGGTCCCTGGGAACCTTTGAGGGCACTCTTCGGCTTAACGGTCACAGACATCCCGGGTGGTGTATGTCTGCTCCGCCCGCCGCCGAGCCGACTCGACTCACCGAGGGAAAGTCGTCGTGTCTGCGTACTGTCGCTTAGCTTCTCCTCTCGTTACCCGGGTTTGTTACGAGCCGAGGACAAAGCGAATGACACCATCTTTAAAAAAAAATAAGTTTAAACAAATGAGTTTTTAATTTGGCTCGTCGGTTTAAGAAAAGAAAAAAATAAGTTGGTTGTGGAAGCGAAGGGAAATCCAGACACGGTGGGGTGCTCTCAGACGAGCTCCAGCATCCTCAACGAGTCCCTGCGCTCAACACCGACCGAGCAGCCATATGGCCAACTGTTTCTACAGCAACCATCCGCGGATACCGTCAACATCCAGCCAGGGATTTGGAAGAAAAGTTACAGCTTTTCCCGGTAAACGCGCTGCCAGGCCAGTCGACAGCCCTCCGCTCACATTGTGTTCCTGTCCACGCACGTCGCTGCCACCCTCGCAAACAACAAATATCAACATGGGAGCAGAGCACACAGCCTCAGCCTGCTCCTCCCCTTCCACCCAGGCTGGAGCCCGAGTCACCACACTGATGAGATGCACAGGGAGGAGGAGCCGATGAAGTGGGGCTTCCCAAAACGGGCTCCGGAATCCTCCGGGTGGTTGTTTCGCGAAAGGTGCGGAATAATGAATCCCCGAGAGCAGGGGTGTGTCCAGAGGGGAAGTGACCGTGGGTGCAGTTTGAACCCCACCGTTGCGCTGTGTCAATAGACTGTATAAAAAGGTGGAGTTGGCTTCAGGAAGAGTAAAACCCAACTCTGCATTCTCTTTAGTGGTCACCAGGGGGCGATACTTGTGGTTGCAAATTAGACAGATTCTATAAAAGTCTATGGGGAAATGACCCTCTGTCCCTCACCTCTGTAAACATTTACCTGATGAACTGAAGGCTCCGAAAAACGCAACTTATTCAATAAATTATCATCATTGAAGGTATCAGAAAGGAGGATGATTCAGGCTATGCTCAGTAATCCAGTTCACCTCTCTTCCCAATCACAAAACACCAGACATGGCAAAACCAAAGACACTGAGCTCAGGGTTGTTGTGATTTGGTGCTGTATAAATAAAGTTGAATTGAAATGTTATTGTCTATTGTTCCGTTAAAGTAGGCCCATCTTATTGCATAGCCTGCTGTATTCTCCTTCTTGATACTAATGTGACCTTAAACCTTAAATGAGACCTTAAACTAGCAAGTCAGACCATAAAGTCATGGAAAACGTCTTACTGAAGTCATAGATTACAGGAGCACAGGCTAATATCTCATACATGTGTACAGAATCCGACTTTTTATTTGTAACACAAAAAGCTGCCCCCTGCTGGCCATTAGAAAAATCCTGGTTTAACTTTTCAAACACAGATGCTGGTTTTCCTTCTGTTATCAGATGATAGCTCAAATGTTGCCAGACTTTAAAAACCCAACCTAATGTTGGGGATAAGTTGTACTTTGAACACCTTGCTGTATTTCCAATACAGTAGAAAGATAACAAATAAAGACAGCTATAGTTTTGATCCTTTTAATAAGCACTGGCAGTGTAGGCTCTAGCCAAGGCCTCATTAACTATATTTCTTTGTGCACAGCTCCACCATAACACACCAAAAGCCACCGGGCAGAATAATCCTTTAAAGGTGTGAATACAGACAGCCTCAGTTATTCAGACTCTGCTTAAAAACTATATCTGAATGGCTAATTGGACTGATAGGATCTATTTTTGAAGATTAGTACATTGCTAGAATTGAATGGTGATACAAACCACAAGTGGGCTGAGGAAATCCGATTAAAGGTGCCTACACACTGTGAGACTTTAGCAGTTTTACAGGTTCCTCCAGTGAATCGGGGCCAAGAGGCATGACTGTTTCCTCTGACGTTCATTTCTGCGCTGCAGCTCCTTTGCAGCTGTTGTGATAGGAGTCAGACATCGAACAAACAAGCTTCTGCTGCACCAACTCAACTCAATTTTTTTTCTTTGTTGGCATCTCAACCTTTTACCTTCACTTGTGCCACTAGGGTTTGTTTTAGTTTTTTCCACAGTGAGTACTCAAACAGCAAACTCCACTGCTGAGGAATGAAGCCAAAGTGCCAAAAGCTTCTCTTCCTCCAGTCTCGTTCTAAATGAGTGTGTTACTGAGCACTAATTAGAAAGTATCTGTGCCTGAGCAATGCACCCGTACAGAGCTTGCTAATAGCGATCCACCGATCCACCCACTTGTCCTATGATGGGAGCTTTTGGCTCTAAAACACACATTCAAAATCCTGCTCCTCACATACAAGGTCTTAAATAATCAGGCCCCATCTTATCTTAATGACCTTGTAGTACCATATCACCCTATTAGAGCACTTCGCTCTCGCTCTGCAGGCCTACTTGTTGTTCCTAGAGTATTTAAAAGTAGAATGGGAGGCAGAGCCTTCAGTTTTCAGGCGCCTCTTCTGTGGAACCAGCTTCCAGTTTGGATTCAGGAGACAGACACTATCTCTACTTTTAAGATTAGGCTTCAAACTTTCCTTTTTGCTAAAGCATATAGTTAGGGCTGGACCAGGTGACCCTGAATCCTCCCTTAGTTATGCTGCAATAGACGTAGGCTGCCGGGGATTCCCATGATGCATTGTTTCCTCTTCACTCACCTCTCACCTTCACTCTCATGTCTGTGTTCAGATATGAAATTCATTTTTTGCATTTAGTCATTAGTTGTTTGCAACTTTATAAATAAAACTGAATTTAACTGAAATAAATTCAAATGTCAGTTGAACATTGTTAGCCAATGAGCACAATTGTTTAGTTTTTGGTGGCCACTGAAAAGAGTGCAGGTTTATTTATGTTCCTACGGCTGTGATGACTACGTGCAGTGTGAGTGTATACGCAGCTCAAGGTGGACCCAGAGAAGCAGATCCAAGTGGCCTGCTGTGGTACTGCAACAAGCAAAGAAAGTGAATAAAGGAAAGTTTCACCATAGATTTCTATCATGACTGTTTCTTTAAAACTGATGACAGCACAGCTGAAGCAGCATTTATATATAGTCACTTCATATTCACTGTGTTGTTACTTTGCTGCAGTTCCAGTCAGTTAAATGTGTACTGGTCTTTTGCGCAGCTGCAGGGTGAGACAATAATTCATATACGCAGTGCATATAACACAGACCATTGATATTAAGGTTCTCATATTACACTGATGATTTCAGCCAACTCTAATAAAATGGTCAGTAAGTCAGTGAAATATTGTGTGTCACAGGTTTAAGTGTCCTCCAGCAAACTCCATATAGTAGGTTGAAGGTGTCTTTATAGTCCTCACCTGCAAAGAGACATCAACCTTCAAAATGTCCCACAGCACGTCCTCAGAAACGTCCTAACACGCAGGTTAACCAGGAAGGAAGAGCGCTGAAGACAACAAACATTTGCTGAGAGTAAATTGTTTGTTAAATGGAGCCACCACTGCTCATATTTACTGTTTCTACTGAAAACAGGCAGCCATGCTGCACATAACTCGTGCTTGCTGAGATGCCAAGTGCAGTTCAGCAGTGATGCAATTTCCTGTTCGGCTAGATTAGTACAGATGATTTCATCATCAGCCCACAGTTCTTCTGCCATCCATGCTCCCCTCACACACACACACCTCCTCATCATCAGTCACTGGCTGCAATTATCCACTTTCTCTGAAAGGAGCTTTGCTGCTTTTCCTCTAATGTGAGAAGACTTAATTGGCCAGAATCAAACACCATGCAAAGAGGGAAACTGTGTGTTCTCGTTGCACTTTTCTAGCCTGCAAATGCATTTTTGATGTGAAAGCTGGGTGTCGTGTTAGCCATCCCGGTCTCAGGCTGTAGGTTTAACACGCTCCCCCCCGTGTGAGTGCAGAGTGAGCAGCCACGGTGTGCTTTCCGAGGAAGTGGTCTTTTACTCTGCTGCGACATGCTTCCGTCATGCATCTGCAAAGCTTCCACCACCGGCCATGTGAATCCACCAAGTGGCACATGCCACACTTGATCTGCTGCAAAGCTGTGGATGTTTGTAATGGCTGCTAATGATCTGTAAGGCCTCCAGACTAATTCTTTAACCACGGAGCTCGTTAAGCAGCCCGATGACATACGGCAGGAGCCGTGTTTGTGTTGGCAAACGGGTGGACATGATAGGCCCCTTGAGTCAGAGTCCAAGAACAACATAGGCTTGACTTACATCCTGCCAAGGCCTCGTGCTGACAGTATTGTTTAGTTTAAAAAGCTGGACTGGATGAAAGAACACGGCGAGATCAAAGCCTCATCAGGGGGCTAATATACTCTCTATAGTCAAAATTACTGGATGAAGTCAAACCTGACTCATCGCTGCTGCCTTACGTGTACTGTAGCACATCACTAGAAAGGTCAGTCCTGTCTGTTTTGTTTCCACCCAGTGCTCATTAATCTACCTACAAGAGCAGTGAGAGGCAGCAAGGCAGCGGACCCCAGCCAGCGGTAGCCAATGACAGGCTCGGTTTCCTCCCGGCCACCACATCCATCCTGTCAGAGCTCAGTGACTCAGCTTTTCAGAGGCACGGGAGAGTGGGAGGTTTTCTCCTGCGCTTGGCTGCCTACGTGAAACACATCCTCCATCACCAAAAAAGTACAGCAGCCCACTTTCCCTCCAAACTCTGAATGACGGGCTGAAATCAAAAACACTCTGAAGTATGTGGGCGCTATTTATAATGTGCAGGTGTGTACCTGTAAGATGCGCTCAGAAGCATATCAGTCATTTCCTTCTCTGCAGAAACTGGCTTCAGTTAGAGATCAATCAAACTGTTAACCATGTCTCAGGCAGGCTGTAATTAATTTCAAAGTGTCAGTAAGAGTTAAATAAGACGAAGATGAGTGATCACGCTTCTCTGCTGCCAAGCAGCCAGACTCGCTCTCATTCTTTGAAGCCAAACTTGTGATGGGACCACTTATCGGCTGTGTTCTTAACCTCAGGAATGTTATTATTAAAATCAGCCTAAAATAGGACTTGATTTCATACCCATGTTTCCCCTGGCAAAGGAAGACGAGAGAGAGACGTCAAATTCCAACTAAAGAGGAAGTAACGACACTGGGGAGACACAAAAAAGAGAAAACACCAAACAAACTGTAGACTCTATTCAGTAAAAACTCAAACACCCTTGGATAGATGAGTGGCTGATGGTTTGTGTCCTTCTTGGAAACGCTGCAAGAGGATGCATTAAAGTCAGGGGGTACACAGAGTGCATCAGTCATGAGTTTCTGCTCCTAAAAGCACTTCTGATGATCGTGTTTGCACATGTGCATGTCTTCATTAACAGAGGAACCTTTATAACCTGTGATAATTAATGAAACACAGCAGATTAGCAGATTTCTGCAGAGAATAAGAAATTAGCTTTCCATCATTCGTCACAACATTATCATCTTTGATGTAAGCTTGAGACGTTTCTGTGGACTCGTAAAGTAAAAGCTTGTAAAGCTCAAGTTGTTTAAGGTCAAACACAAACTGAGTGTTTTAATGTGAAAAGCTTGAAAACAGGGGGAAGCACAGAGTGACTGTTCCTTATATTGTCGGACTAAACTATGATGATGATATGCACATATGTAAGGTTTTATGAGCTCAGTGTTCCTCCTCTGAGAGCAGATTAGAATGAATATAATTCCATCTCTAAAAAGACTTTTTCAGATGCTACAAATCTAAATCCAGCTTAGTTCTTTGATTTGTGCTGGTTAATTTTGCACATTTTAATGAACTAATTCCAAAGCTAAC